ACAATAACAGTAATGACACCTTCATTTTTAACAAAAAATAACTTTTTTTTATATCAGTAACAAATCAGTGTTACAACATTTTGTCAATAATCATACATAATTTTATAGCAAAAACCCAATTGAAAACCTGTCCAATTAATTTCTTAATTGGACAGGATTCCAAAATTAACGAAAAATCCAGCTTTTGCCTATTTGGGATTAATATGTGGTTTAAGGAATAAAAGATGAAATTCCGTGTTTGATACTCTGATCAAAACACGCGGGATGTAGGGAGAGCACGAGAGAAGCGTAGGAAACCACGACGCTTTCATATTAATTGGATAATAGATTTAACAGAGTCCAACAATACCAAGGAATTCTATTTCACTCTAATATGTCTTTATTCTAAATAAATAAAACATGTGACTTTTCTGACTGTTGTTAGCTTACCATGATCTGTCTTGAAAATGACTGTATTGGTCAAAAGATTGGCAAAAATCAATTCCTAAGAAATTTTGAAATACTTAGTCATTGTAGTAAATGTTTTTAACCTGAAATTATATTAATGAYAATGGAACTAATATTGTGATGTTGAAAATGACATTGATACAAATGACAATAATGATTGCTCAAAAATATTGACAACTTTCATTTCATAGATCACTGAATGGAAAGACAGAGCAAGCAAGTTCCATGATCTATGTCAGACTGTATCAGAGATGTTTGTACGCTTCTCAGAGACTCCAAACCGTGCATTACTATATGATATGTATCCATACATATGGGATGTTAAAGAAAGTGTACTACTCTTAGATACATTCATTAACTGGCTCAATTCTAAGAGTAGACTAAGAAAACAAAGACCTAACTTCTTCCCAGTGGACCCTGAGCCTTGGGTCTTCAGGGGAGGATTGTGTGGAGAGCTGCAGGTGTGTATTACACAAGTGCTTTTATATTTTACATGCTGAATAACTCTCAATAGTCTCCTTCACTGTTACCTGCGCCATCTTGAAAGGTAGCCGTGCCTTTGCATCAAAGCCAGACAACCGTTGAGCGTGCAATGATAGAAACCTGTGAATAATTGTCTGTAGGTGTGAAAGGAGGTTTCTATCATTGTATATCATCTACCAAGACAGCTAAACAGAATAGTAGGAATAAACGGGGCAGTTCATCTCCTGTCGGTGAGTTTATGTAATATATAAAATATTAGCGTCCAACCTTTATGGGCATTTAAAATTGTGAGCTGCAATTGAGCAGTTTTATAGCCCATAAAGGTTGGACGCTAATATTTTATATTGCTTATCAAATTCCAACATAAGCTAAAGCATATTTCGAAAAAAAAATTCAGGATAAAATATCATTTGTAAGAAAAAATAGAAATTATAGTCTTATGCAAAAGGACAAATCTCTTGCTCATATAAAGATGCGGTCACGGCAATGGTTTTCCATTGTGTTTACCTTATGAATTATTAATGAATTTGATAAGTATTGATATATAGGTTATATATTGCATATCTACTGTATATATAGATGTTTGTCATTCTTGTTTGTATTTTCACAAGAACAATTGTATTTACAATGAAAATTTTGAAAGTTTGCAAGGTTCAGTAGAGATACATATTTTTATCAACATTTTACTTATTGTCTATGACTACATTTCTATATTTAATATAGAATATAGCTGCATAACATTTCTATATGTTTAAATGTTTCAAGGGGATGGACGTCAATTAAGGCTTGCCCTGTTTCCATTTCCTGTCCCTTGTTGTAAAATGTACTTGTCATGTGACAAATCACAATAAAGAATGAATCCTGTTAAATACATGTAGAATCTTACAATGGTCCTTTCATTCTTCAGAGCCCCAGAAGGAAGCRAAAGTTACAGAAGAAGCCTTGATGGACGTGTCTGACCTTAAAAAACCACCTTCAAGTCCTGTAACATCAGAAGATCTGTTACTATTAGTAGATCTGTTCTACCTGCCGTACAGTCATGGGGTTAAAGCCAAACAAATCCTTTCTGAATTTAAATGGTTAAAAAACAATGCAATTAAAGAAGAATCTGATGAATTTAAAGAACTCACTGAAGATGAACAAACAGCCAAGGTAATGACTATATTATTATATGTAATAGGACTCCATGCTGTCCAATTAAGAAATAATTGGACAAGGAAAATTCCGAGGACTGCCAAAAATTGGATGAGGCCGTGGCCGAGTCCAATTTGGCAGTCAGAGGAATTTTTCGAGTCTAATTATTTCTTAATTGGACAGCATGGAGTCTTATTACCTATTAATTATATAGCCACATATTGATCCCAAATAGGTAAAAGCCAACCACAGCTTTTAACAAAAACCCAATTGAAAACCTGTCCAATTAATTTCTTAATTGGACAGGATTCCAAAATTAACGNTTATATGTTGATATTGTTGATTTTTACAGAATATATATATGCTTTATACAGCTAATTCAGAAAACATTGAATATTGAATACTGTGTAGTGGATAGTGCACAACCAAAATGAATTGTTGGTCATTCAAAAGGAGTTTTTGTGAGTTCACAGCGACTCTACCAACGCTGTGCTGTCAAAAACTTACATGAAAAGCAATTAAGTTTAGRATYATCATTTTGTAATAAGGCTAACCTGGATTTTAATAATCCCAATGAATTGCAGTCTTCGAATGCACTATGCAGAATTCAATGTTTTCTAAAATGCTGTATACATGTATTTCATCCCCTTTCCTTCAATCAATTTGMTGTATGCATTCATTTATTCATTTTTATCACCAGAAAAGTATGTATGAAATCTGTTTATCAACATGTGATGATGGTCAAGATGGTCATGATTTGTTTGCTAATGAACTTGATATGGCAGGAGACAGGTATRTGATAAACACCAATCATTAATGTCTTTAGCACCATCTCACTTCCTCTACAGATATATTAATAAAAAGGCTATAAAACTACATCTGCTTGCTCTTTGTGGTAATAGGGCATTGAATAACAGCCAGTGAATGGACATTGTGTTCATTATTTCAGTTCTTTATTACTCCAACCAGCTCATGTATTAATTGTTTCTTTTCTCCCCTGGGTACCTTATGCAATTTTAATAAAAAAATGTTTAYCTTGCAGATTTGTTGGTCCTTATATCAATATCTGTCCTGAACATGTGTTTGTAGTGGAAGATAGTTATGGACTGTGTGGTTATGCTGTATCAACATCAGACTCTAAACATTTCTATGAGCTWTACAAGAAAGACTGGTTACCAAAGGTATTAAACAACATCAACAATACTCCAGTTTTGAGATCTTATTGCACAGCCTTAACCTTGAAAGCATGTACATGTAATATATTCTTTTATTCAGCAGCAGTCCTATTGTAATGCAAACACTCTTTGTACAAAAAAACAATCAAAATTTATGCTTGATTAAAGCTAAGCTTGCACAAAAGAGAATTTGAAACTGGAGTATTACTGTACATGTACATCAACAGTAATAAAAGCATCCCTAATAGTAATAACATTAATGATAATAAAAAAGCGTGTTTACATAAATACTTGCTGAGCTGCAAGATTACAAAACTTATTGGAAAAAGTTGGGGGTTTCAAGTCAGTTCCCCCCAAAATACATCCTCGGAATCCTCACTGATGTTTAAAATGACAGCTGAAGTCATTCCATGCACATTTGATTGTATATTTTTATGTTTCTCTTCAATCCAATTATAAATGTTCAATATTTCAATTGCAATTACACCCTCGATATGAAGCGCATCAAGGAAGTGCATTGTAAGCAAACAGCAAACAAAGTAGAGTCCTGTTAGTAGGAAGGGCACATCACTTTGAGCATGTGCTGTTAGGCTACCACAGCATGTTACATTTGTACATGCCTTGATTTGAACAATTTTAAACGTACATTAAGCCCTATGTAATAATGAAGTTGTTTTATTCAAGGTATGCGAAAAGTATTCTAAACCACAAGGCAATTCAGAAGAGTGGACGTATGCTGATCACATAGCAGATAGCTTTTATTCACCAAGAATATTTCTACCTGATGAATTGTACTCTAAACAATCTGCTCATGTTAGAATAGATGTCCTGCCAAGAGCACAGGTACTGTTAATATTATAATTGTAATCTAAACGGTCTTTTTAAATACAGTCCTTAAGTTTGATGTCCACAAGAAGAAAGTCGTTTTTAAAGGAAATTTGCATCTGAGAACTTTTGTGATTGTTTGCCATGTTTTATGATCTTTTGTTGAAAGTATGGCTTATTTGAATATCTGAAAATCCCCCAAGTAGATTCTAAGTATGCACATTTTAACATAAATTTACACTGTGCATCAGAATTCTTTAGATTTCAGCCCCCTTTCCTCCTCCTCTACCCCCAGTATCAAACCTCTTTCAACATTKATCAGGGSGAAGGGG